CCAAACCCTTTGCCTGCATTCCCGGTTTGGTAAGTGCCACGTCAACACCAGTGCCACGGTAGCAGTGCCACATCAAAAGTGCCACGTCAACAGTGCCACGCTAGCAGCAGTGCCACGTGAGCAGCCCCACGTCAGTCGGGCCCCGCCACCATGACGGGTTCATCATTGGGCCTGCCAGGCCAATAGGCCGACAAGTCCATTGACGAGTACCATCAACGGGTTCTAGCTCATCTCGCACTGACTGAGGGGGAGGTACAGCGCCAGGCGGCAGCCGAGGCTGCACGCCTACAAGCTGAAGCAGAGGCAGCAACTGAAAAGCAGCGGCTGCAGGCCGAAGCAGAAGCAAAGGCCCAGGCCCTCCGCAAGGAGGGCCAAGAGCTGCTGCAGCGGCACGAAGCCACCAGCATCGACAAGCTCAAGTTCTGGCATTTTGAACCATCCGCCGGCCACAACAATGCAACACCAGAAGAGCAACATAAGGAGTTTTTCTCCAAACTCGTGACACGGTTGGTTTACACTTGTAACCACCAACAGTCCGAGTAGGCGAAACAACACCAGGAACTGGCGAAACAACCTAGGAATTGGTGAGTCTCCGACGGGCAATGCAGAACCACAAGGATCAACACGAGGATGCTACACGGGCACTTCACTCCCGTGTAAAGGACTTGGAGCAGGTCGCACCGAGACCAGATGCTAGCGAGTCCAGCAGTAAACCCTCTACCCACCAATTGGAGGAACGAGTTGATCATGTAATCGCAATGCTCGACGACATCAGCACCTTCACCGCACCAGCCACCACCAGCTAGCAGCTCGGCACCTTGCAGACCGAACTCAAACAGCTGCACCAACCGCCCGACAACGATCGCAGCACATCGAAGCACTACAAGATACCGACGTTTAGGATCGAGAAATTTTTGACGACTATACACATTAGGACCCAACCGTCTGGTGGGACGGTTTTACAACGGAGCTTGGGATTCACAAGGTCCCTGAATACTTGTTCATCTCGGCGCTGTTCCTCAACGTTAAGGGCGAATGCCAGATCTAGCTCAGCCACATGACAACCATCCACGGGGTCCAGGTCGACCATCTATACCAGAAAATCTGCTAGGAAGATTTGACGAGAGAATGGAAGAAGCGGTTCATCGTCGACGACGCCCCAACACTCGCCATCAACCGCCTCTTCACCATGACCAAAGGCAACACAACAACACGCGATTGGCTCACGGAATGGCAAAAGATCGTGGCAACGCCCGATCTCCAGTTGCCAGTTTTGCATCTGCGTCGAGACTTCTACAACCGGTCGTGTGCCGCCTTGAGTCTCGCACTCGGTGATCGTGAGCAATACACGACCTTTGCCGAAATTGTCGACAAGGCGTAAGAGATCATCAAGACCAACCGGGTTGCTGCACACAAGAAGTCAACGTGGCAGCCAGCCTATGTGGAGAAGGGAAAATTTTGTCCGCGTCCGCAGCATGTCGCTGCAGTCCAACCGAACAACATTGTGGAAGACCCGGCAGCCACCTCGGCATCACGTGAGGGAGATCAGGTGGCCGTCGTCCAGCCGCGAAGCAACAACAACTACCGTGGAAAAGGGAAGGCGAAAACCGCATCACCGGTCGAAAACCGACAGCCAGTACCATGGGTCAAGTTCAACTTGACCGAGGCCGAATACAAGTACCGCAACCGATACGGTTGTTGCTATTGGTGCAACAGCACCAAGCACAAGACCTCCCAATGCCCGGATTAAGGCAAGGAGGATGTTCGACCTCGCATCAACTCGGGAAACTGAGTTGCTCGGCAGGTGAGGCGACTCCACCTCTCACGCCGCCAGATTCGGCCGCATTGCTAGCGGCCTCGTACACATCTAGGGAGAATGCGGATGTCGCGAGTCCTCGGTTCACTTATGAGGATTACGCTGTCCACTTGGTCCCATCGTTGGACCAACCACTCCACGTGCAACAATCCACCGCATGCACGGTTTCACCACCATCGGCAACCGATTCAGCAGCTTCGCCGCCAACTTTCGTCGGGGATTTGACGTCATGGTCAAGACTTGAGGAGCTCGACCTGTTGACGTTCACGGACTTCCAATGGATGCCCCTTCCCCCGTCCGGTCGATTGTCGAAACCGCATTGCAACGTGCTCATGGCACAATTGCGGGATTACTTGCACAGTGCAGTACCAGCTTCGTTGATGGTAGAGGTTGTTGACCTTCACGACTACGTTGCGAAGATCGACCGCGAGTTCAAGACACAACAGTACGACGACTTCGACGGGCCATTGTTATACATACACATTCAGATCGGAGAGGTGACCTGCAAAGCTTTGATCGATTGCGGAGCTACTCGCAACTATATCAGCCAAGACTTTATGGTACGCGCTGGCCTTGGGCCACGCGCTGGCCTTGGAGGAAGTCGCAGCCCACGCAAGTCACGTTGGTCGATTGTCACATGCACAAGTCAATTGACCGGTGCATTAATGTTGTCCCCGTGTACTTTGCCCTGCATGCAAGCGAGGCTGTGCCCTTCGACATTTTGGACACCAAGTTCGACATGATCTTGGGCATGTCATGGCTGCAAAGCGCGGATCACCCGGTGAACTTCTACCGCCGTACCGTTCACGTTCGTGATCGGAATAGAGTACTAGTCCCATGCACGGTGCCTCCTCCTCACCCTTCGATCAGCTGCCACGTGGTGTCCGCCGCAAGCATTCGAGCTTCCATCACGAGGGATGGCATCGAGGAGATGGGGGTGTGTTTTCTCCTCACCCTCCCGCCCCATGACATTCCATCGACGGACTCATCACCGGACCCACGCATCACCAAGCTTCTCGACGCTTATGGCGACGTGTTCGAAGCCCCGCACAAAGTAGTACCGGATCGGCCCATCCGCCACGAGACCATCCTCGAGGCCGGGGCCGTAGCTCCCCGTGGTTGCATTTACCGCATGAGCGAGGAAGAGTTAAGTGTGCTACGAGCACAACTCGACGACCTCCTCGAGAAAGGTTGGATTCGGCCTAGCTCTTCGCCATGCGGTGCTCCCGTTCTCTTCATCCGGAAGAAGAACAAGGATTTGTAGTTGTGCATCGATTATCGCAAGCTCAATGCGCAAACCGTCAAGAACGTCGGCCCTCTCCCGCGCATCGACGATCTTCTCGAACGGCTGGGCGACGCTAAGTTTTTCTCCAAGCTTGACCTCAAATCGCGTTATCACCAACTTGAGATCCGGTGGGAAGACCGCTGCAAGACCTCGTTCAAGACCCGATATGGGCACTTAGAATGGCTGGCCATGCCATTGGCCTTACGAATGCCCCAACCACATTCCAAGCGACTATGACAACGGAGTTCCGACACATGCTGGATAGATTTGTACTCATCTACCTCGACGATATCTTGGTGTACAGTCGGAGTTTGGACGAGCATGTGGAGCATCTGCGCACCGTTTTGGACCGGCTACGACAAGCCAAGTACAAAACCAACCGCGACAAATGTGAATTCGCGCGGCAAGAGCTCGAGTACTTGGGCCATTATGTGATGCCGCATGGCATCCGTCCGCTTGCGGACAAGATCGAGACCATCCGCGTGTGGCCTGAGCCCACCAACACCACGAACGTTCGCTCATTCGTGGGATTGGTGGGCTACTATCAATGCTTCATCACCGGGTACTCAAGGATTGCCGCACCTATGACGAGATTACAATCGCCAAAGATGCCATTCGTATTCAATGACGGCGCACGTCGGTCATTCCAAGCACTCAAGACGGCCATGCTCATGGTACTCGTCCTTAGCATCTACGACCCCACCTTGCCAACGAGAGTGACAACTGATGCTTCCGGCTATGGCATTGGGGCAGTCTTGGAACAACACGACGGCGGCAATTGGCACCCTTTCGAGTATTTCAGCCACAAAGTGCCTCCCATCAACTCACTTGATGATGCAAGGAAGGAGCTACTCACGTTCGTAATGACTCTCAAGTGTTGGCTGCACTTCCTCCTTGGGCGTCGTAGGTTCACATGGGTCACTAACAACAACCCGTTGACCTACTACAAGACGTAGGATACAGTGAGCAGCACGATCGAATGTACTTCATCGACCAATTTGACTTCACACCGAAACATCTCGCTGGCCTCTCCAATCGCGCAGCAGATGCACTCTTGCGAAGACCCGATCTTTGAGCTATGACACATCATGCCTTCGCGTTCGACGAGGAACTCCAACGACACTTCATCTCGGGCTATGAGTCCGATCCGGATATCGCCACGTTGTATGCGCAACTATCTTTGGATCACCCGTCGGCCAGCCACTATCGCATCGTCAACGGGTACTTGCTCCTCCACTCACGAGGCAAGGACTTATTGTGTGTCCCACGAGACCGTCGTCTTCGGACTCGCCTTCTTGGTGAGTACAACGACTCGCGACTCGCCGGCCATTTCGGAGTCAATCGCACTATTGCACAACTTCGGCAACGATTCCGATGGCCCGACCTCATTACCGATGTCACTCGGTATTGCGACTCTTGCGAAGTTTGACGACGAAGCAAGCCCCTCAACCGCAATCCTTACGGCAAGTTGATCCCGATGCCTATCCCACGGGAACCCGGCCTCTCCGTTGCCATGGACGTCATCGGTCCTTTTCCCCACAATCGCCTCGGGCACGACGACATCCTCATGGCCATTGACCATTTGAGTAAGTACGCACGGTTTCTCCCTTGCAAGTACTACGCCACGGTTCCAGAACTTGCGCGCCTCTTGCACACCGGCTGGATTTGCAGCCACGACGTACCGAAAGACATCGTCAGTGCGCGCGACACGCGTTTCATGTCGACATTCTGGACTTCTCTCATGCAGGAATCCGGCACCAAGATGAAACCAAGTTTGGCTCGGCATCCACAAACGGACGGGCAAACGGAGCGGGCACATCAAACCTCTCAAATGATGCTTCGTACGCTCATCCGTCCGGATAAGAAGGATTGGGTTGACCGCCTCCCCGATATCGAGTTCGTCTACAACACTTCGTTGCATCCTGCGATCGGCTCGACTCCATTCGAGTTGCACCACGGTGGTTGGAAAGGCCGTATCTTCGCTGATCTTCTCCTCCCACGAACAACCGACATCTTGCTCCCCCGCTTATGTCCGGAAGTACAGGGAATTACTGGCTCAAGCCTGCGCGAACATGCAAAAGGCTCAAGTCCGCATGCAGCAGCAAGCCAACAGGCGTCGCGTGCCATGTCCCATCCGCGCCGGTGATCTGGTTTGGGTCTACAAGGAAGAGTTTGCACTTGAGCAAGATGTTTCACGCAAACTACTCCCCAAGTGGTTTGGACCATGGCCCTTTGTAGGGGCCGTACCCTGAAGGACTTTCGTGCCTTGGTCGACCCCAGTGCGGGCCCCACTTGGCTCGACCCGCCCACGCTCACGCTCAGGGCGCGGGTCGTTCGTCCCAGGGGCACCCCCACCTAGTGCTTTGAGATGGATGGAGGTGTGCCAGTTGCGAGAGGGCTTTACATTGGGGGATGTAGCTCCGTTCTCGCGTCAAGATGGTAGCTCTTTGGCACTCGTGGCGTTTTCTCGATTCAGTTAAGTCTGACCAGGCAATTGCTCCTTCCAATACGCAGGCAGTCCAGGGAATTCATTGAGAGTTTATCGTCTTATCGTGCGCAGGCCAAGCGTCATCCATTGGGCCACGCACCTTTTCACTAGGTCTAGTGGCTCGAGACAGCCCCGACAGCATCCTTGGGGTAGGGCGGCGTCGCCCGGACCCCTAGCCGCTATATTTTTTTTTGCGAGAGCCACTAGCATCGCATCACCTATCCAAAACCACCCTTAGTCCTTTCAGGGGTCACATTGCACATGAGAGAGACATTCCATGCAACCTCCACACAAACCAAGTCCATGCATCAGCCATCCACCCAAGCGCCCGGTCTCAACTCATCCCGCATCCATGGCTTAAGCCGAATCCACGTCCTTTCCTTAGCCAATCTTCCACCCTAGTCCTCATCCGCGGGTCCAGCACCGTCCAAGCCGTCCCTAGCTACTCACCTGCGCAAGACCACACAAGACAAATAACCAAGTACAATCCCCATTGGGGTCAACACATCGCCCCCCTTCCCGCAATCCTAAGTTGTCTTTGCCTTCCATTTTCCCTTATGAGTTCCCTCCCCGTTCACACAGGCAAGCCATGCGATCGCCTCAATCATGCATTCCGGGAGGATGGTTGAGTCAAACTGACCTCGTTCAAAAACAGCACTCCTTTTCGCTTTCACAAATGTTCTCAATAGCCCCTTACCCTCTCCTTCTTGGTGGCACAAGGGACCGGCAACCCTTCCCTTGCCCTCGCTTTCCACCAAGTGAGGACCAAGTTCCTTTTTGTTCGTTCCCTGGCAATGTAACAGGTGAGGGTAGAGGTTAGTCACATGCCATGGAGGGGAAGGGGTGACGGCAGGGTTAAGGGTTAATGGTTTTTGAAGAAATGGAGGAAGTCGGAGGGAGAGGGAGAGAGAGAGAGAGAGAGAGAGAGAGAGAGAGAGAGAGAGAGAGAGAGAGAGAGAGAGAGAGAGAGAACAAGAAGGTTCACATCCTAATCGACTTTGCTCATTGACTTACCC